CCCGCCACTCTGGTTCAGCATTTGCCCACATGGTTTTCCTGCTCCAAACGGAGGCCTCACAGAGCAGGACAGCCCAGGAGTTGGTGGGGCTGCCTTGGATTTATTTGCTCCTCTTACATTGATTTCATATTAGTTTCCAAAGCACTGAATGATCTCAAAGCTGGGTTTTGTTAGTTGAACACAAACAGGAGACAGGACTTACTTGCCCCCAGCTCCCTTTAATGAGGTCATTATCAAAGTGTGAACAAGTCTATGAATGTTTTATTGAAAGCGCATCGTTAACTTGTATCCATCCTTTTCTCCGAGTGGCATTGTGATATTGCTGTCTGTGGCACATCTTACCCGATATAGCCCAAGATTTCCCCATTCTCTGTAACCAGGCAACCCTTTCTGAATACCCCAAAATTGAAAAGAACCGCTTAGTCTTCAAGAAAGTCCTCAATAATAGTGGAAAAGAACAAAGATCCAGGAGACAACAAAATGCCACAGGGGTGACTTTTCATGAGCAATTATCTCTCATTAATCAGAAGAACAGCTGCAATATTAATTTTCTCTCTTTCTTCCTCTCTTTTCACAGTCCCCAACATTTGAATAATCATAAATTTTTATTTTATGAAGGAGTCACATTTTCAGGGACTAGAGGAAAACAGCTACCTAGGTGAAGACAAGGAGAAAAAGCTCTCATTTTATTTTTTTGTTGGGGTAAAGCTGCCAACAAAGCAAAATTAAAAAAAAGAAAAAGAAAATGAGAAAGAAATGTCACAGAAAATGCCCCCCTCCTATAGCTGCTGAGAATCAGGACTCCTTCCTCCTCTCCCCTCCTCTCTACCACCCCTCCCTTCCCTCCTCACTGGCCCAGACCCTTTCCCTAGTTCTGCTCAGGGCAGGGCGGAGGGAAATGTCCCCGGCGTCTGGCGTGGGAGTTTCAGCCCGGTTTCTGGCCGTTTAACTTGCAAACGTGAAGCCAAGCGTTGTCGATCTGACCAAAGAGACACTCTCTGGGCGTAACTTGCATTGTGACCATCAAAAGCCCGCCAGCCCTGGATGAACTGAGACGTGCATTCAGCAGAATCGGGGCGCTCGCTTTCCTTTCAGGCTCTAGAGAGGCGATTGTTCACAGGGCGTATAGCCTGGGTGGAAAACGTGGGTCCCCAGATAACGCTGTAACCTGCAAGCGAGCTTGGGAGAGTAAAAAGAATCTCATTAGAGCCGAGGCTGCAATTAGCAAGCACACTCTCAGAGAAACCAAACTCCTCTTGAAAAGCTGTGGGTCGAATGAAAGAGGGCAGTGGGGAGTTAGTCCCCACATTCCTGTGCCAGCTGAGCAATGGGGTGCTCAAGCGCCTGTCACCCCAATACTGTTGCTTTTAATGCAGATCCCATTACACCCTTTCAGAGAGACAACCGGCTGCAGGCTTGTGCTTATGCACCACCTAAAACGATCTTGCTTCTGCCTAGTGTTTATTCAGGGCGGATGGGCCTTTGAGAAACCTGAATTCGCCTTTGTGTTCACCACAGTTGCAAGAGTTCAATTCAGCCCTCTGAGAAGGGGAGAAGGGTCCTTCTAAAGAAGGAGTGAGGGGTTTGGCTCAGAATTTAAAGGAAAGCCCTGTCTCTTGGCCCTCAGAACAGAATTTCGATGGCACAGAATGCCTACCATACAGCCCCCCTGTTCGCCACTTGAGCTTATTTGTCCACCCCAAAATCCTGCAGCCTAGCCAGCCAAGCCTCTCCCACCCTTAGAGCTCTCCTCTGTCATCAGAATAAAATTTATTGGGCGCCTACTCCATGCCCAGCGTGTGCTAGGCACCACAGGACGCCCTCCTGAAAAGGCCAAGACAGTATCCAATAGAATATTGTTTCAGTTCAGCAACAATGGCCTGAGGTGGGAACAATTATCTGGATAATTGAAGCAAATGCTCCACCTCCCTCCTTCTAGCTCCAGTTCCTCTGGTGCTTACCATTTTTTACTACTCTTTTCAGGGATGGTGGTTTTGTTGTGAGGGGGGCAAGGAAAGGGCTGAGTTATTCACAGATTAGCAATTCCCCACTTCCCTTGGCCTAAATATGATGGAAGCATTGGGTAGAAATAACTGCTTAGTCACAGAGATTAAAATAGGTTTTGTTTTTAGTTTTACCACAATAAGAAAGCCTTACTCAATTTTAGCATCCAGCTTTTCTGGTTTCCAACTTTGGTCATCTACAAACATTACCTGGAGAGCTTTATAAACACTGTATGCCAATCATTGCTGTAGAGGTTTTGATTTAATGACGTTAGGCCAGAATAAGTAAGGATTGACAAATAAGTGATAAATCCTCCCACCACCATCCCTGGTCCTGGAACCCAAAGAGATTAATTTAACCTCTAGAGCCTCAGCTAGACGCTTGATAGGTGGAAAGGGTGTATTAAGCACCTACTGTACATCAGGCTCTGTGCCAGGGGTGCTAGGAAAATCCCTAGCACAAGATCCACCCTGGGGGCTTTCCAGGATGTTAAGAGAAACAACAAATCAGTTCAGAGCTGGTGAGTTAAAATAGGTCATGGGAATATGAGAGAAAAGCCCAAAGGGCTCTGGGAGTTAATAAAACCAGTCACTAGTGACATTTAAAGGGAGACCTACAGGATGAGCAGGTGTTATTCTGTGAAAAGGGGACGGGGACTGTGTTTTGGGCCACCAAAGGGCACACACAAGAACCCACATGAGTTTCTCTTTGTTAATTTCAAGAACTGAAAGGAGGCCAAGGAGAATGGAGGAAAAATTTTAGCTTCTGCAACTGTGAAATAGGAAAAAAGGCACTATGAATAAGGACTACCTACCTTGGGGTCTGCTGCCTGCTGCCTGGTAAGAGTTCCTGACGTCTCTTTTTTATTAGTAGTATTTGGGATCTGCAGTTGCATGTTTTCTTCAGGCTTGGGGTTGAAGTATTAGAGACCCTGGTTTTGGCACCAGGGCACCTGGAAGCCAGAGTTGCTACCCCATCATTTCTGGGTCCCTGAGCACCTTTGTTAGGCTTTTTGTAGCTCAGTGGCTCCCACACAGCCTGAAGGCACCCACACATGGATTCTTTAGCCTTTGTTGTCTGGGTGTACTTTTGTTCCACTGCCCCACCAACCTCACCTGCCAGGGGACTTCTATACCTCCCACTCCTCACCCAAAGGCCTACCTATCCTGGTTATCTTCACCTGGGCCTGGGCCCTAAATTTCAAAACATTCCAGTGGCTTCAAGAAGTCTCACCTCCCTGGCAGCTTTGATGCATACCCATCTGCTCAGCAGTGGAAACAGGTGCCGTTCCAGTGTATAACTGGCCTCATAGCCACTGTATCCCTGTTCTCACTGTGTGCCAGGCCTTGAACTAGGAACCTTGTCTGCATGACTTCATTTGATCTGCCCAACAGCCATTCGTAAAACACCATTATTGTGGCTTCTTTGTGGAGCAGACCCTAGTCTCTCTGAAGGTTAAAGAGATACCCAAGGTCACAGCTGGAGACACCAGACCTGATGTAGAGGCCTGAGGTTTTAAGCAGTAAACAATACCCTCTCCTAATAGCACTTACCATGAATGAGCACCTACTGTATGCCTGGCAATGGATTGAGACTTTGATGTACTCTGTTTTTCTCCCAGTGACTCTGGGAGGTAGGTACTTTTATAATTTACTCATTAGTTTTTTGACCACTGTGGCTAGCATGGTTTTCCTACCTATGCAAAGTTCCAAGGACCAGGCTAATGTGATTCATATGAAACAAAAGGCTCAGGGATTAAGAAGAGCAGAGGAAACATAATTGTTTTTATTCACTGGGGCCTAGAATATAATAAAGCTCTTAAAAACATTTGGAGTAGAAGAAAGCACTATCTTACTCTTTTACTTCAAAAGTCCCTATATCTGTTTATTTGGTTGCTGTTTGGGTACTTCTTGTTCACTGCAAACTGCACCTGGGATGAATAAGCTGTTTAGGTGCTTCATCTGCCTGGCAAGTGCAGGGTCCTGAGTTCAATCCCTGATATCACGCGCACACACACACACACACACACACACACACAATTAGCTGATATAGATTGGGAGGGCATTTCACATTTGTTGAATGAGACCTCCTTTTACAGTAGGGAAATGAAAGCTCTGAGATACTATGCAATGTGTCCAAGGCCACCTTTCAAGAGTCAGAGATAGGAATCTAACCGAGGTTTCTGAATCCCTTTTCCCCCTTCTGTCTTCCTGCCAGGGGCTGTGTCCAGGAGGAAAGGGGCTAAGGACAGGAACCTGTGCTGCACTGCCGAGATGGTCCAGGTCAGTCCGTCCTTGCCCCACCACAGGCTGGCATGGCACAGCGAGGCAGAGGGGAGAGGCCTGAGCGATGCCCGCCTGGGATGGGTGCCTCCAGCACTCTCGCTTCTTCTGAGCCAGGAGCGTAACCCTAACCCATTGCCGGTGGCCTCCCTCTTTCCTTCTTCCTGGATACCTTGTTTCACGGGGTAGGGGGTGCGGGATAGGGGTGTGGGGGAGTGTGAGGGGTGTGAATCCAAACTGCTGCACTAAGTGAAAATCTGCAAACAACACCCGCCTCTGCCCTCCCCCGCCAAATCGGCACAAACAGCAAAAACACACACAGAGGAAGGCTGGGCACTGTGGCCACTTCCTGATAAGCAGGAATGTGAGAGCGCAAGGGAGTCACAGATGTGAATTTGTGCGCATGTGTGGGTATGAGGCAGGAGAATTGAGCATGTCTGCGAACACAAGCTTGTTAGAAGTCGGTGCATGCCATGGGGGAGGTAGGTGTGTGTGAGGATGTGTGATAGGAAGTGTCCTCAAGATACAACGAGCTGACGACGGCATAGATGATGCCAGGGAATATGCAGGTGCATGTACGCTTGGGGCAGTGAAACGTGCCTGTGTCCAGCAGTATGAGTGTGTGTGATTTGAGTAGATGAATATACAGATGCGATGTGAGGCTAAGAGAGGCTGAGTGTGTGGATGTGTGCTGGCGAGGGTGTAGGAAGGCGGGTGTCGGATTGGACTGAGGAATGTGGGAAGAGTGTGCGATGTGTGATCGCCCTCCCAACCTGCACACCTTGATAGCTGCACCTTCCTGGAGGTGGGCTGTAGGCAGTGGCGTGGTCTCTTATCGGCTGAGGTGACTGGCTGGGATCCCCTTGACTTAGAGAGGAGAGAGGAGGGGTCTGGAGTATCTCTGATCCCCTTGGTCCAAGTTTGGATGCGCCAAGCTGGAGGGGATGGGGCATATCACCTCAGGGATCCCTCTTTCACCTACCCCATTTTGCTCACTCATCCTCAGTGAGAATTTGTTATACCTACAGTATGCCAGGCTATGCTTTAGGTGGTGGACTTTACATGGACTTTAGGTGACTTACATCATCATAGAGATCTCTCTGGGTCTTTGAGTTTTTCTGTTTGAAATCACTTTGCAGGATGCCAGTGATACAAACACAAATTGTGGCCTCTGCCCTCAAGAAGAAAGGTATGGGGGAGCTTCTAAGACAATGATAGTGACAAGACAATACATGAGTGCTAATCCATTCCCTCTCCATCCCAGCCAAAAACTTCCATTGCACAGTTGGCCTTGGGCTCAGACGTAGGAGATCCTAGATGTGACTAGGCTCTTTAACTATGGAAACATAACACTCCTTCCATAGGCTGAGAGCACTGAGTTAGGTCAATGACCACTCCTGGCACAATGCCTGGCACAGAGCACTCATTACATACACTATGGTGATGATGTTGATATCTTCCTGTCTGAGGGGCTGTTGTGGAAAGACATGCTGCATTTGTGTGCTACAATGTGTCGGATATCGCCTATAGATTTAAATTAGCTTGTATATAATTTATATTAAATTTCTGCCAGCGTTGGGCTGCATCTGATGCTAGTTCTTTATCCATAAGTAGTGACTTCTCCCTTTCCTGGGCAGATTTTTATCAATATCAGTGGGAAGGGAAAATGCCCTAGTGGGAGTCAGCAAGTATGCACAGGAACTAAATATCCTTTTAAGGAGCTTTAGGGCATTTTTATTTTTTATTTTATTATTTTTTATTTTTTTGGTACTGGGGATCGAACTCGGGTCCTTGCACTTGCGAGGCAGGTGGCAGAACCACTGAGCTAATCCCCGGCCTTAGGAGTATTTTTAATCTACACATGGTCCATAATAGTGCACAGAAATATTTTCACAGTGACAAAAAATATTTGCAGTAATTTAGTCTTGTGAGCAAAACTTCCGATTAAATATGAGGAAATGGGTTTCCTGGTTAGCCATGTACTTTCCTGGAACAAGGGACTGTATGAGCAATTGCAGGACGTATTTATTTATTATTTACTTTTAAAGATAGTCTATTAAGACTTAAAAAATGTTCAAACTAGGATCTCAAAATAACTTTGTTTTAAACCAAAAGGAAGATCTTTAAAGACTGGATTTCCATATTGATATATTTTGCCAAGAAAAAAAAAGCAGAAATTTTTACAAATGTGAGAATAGACTATGGTACCTAGGTTCTTGAATTTGATAACTGGAAAGAAATTTTACTAGGCATAGGCAAGGACTTTCTGAACTGAATCCCAGTTGCACAGAAAATAGTACAAGAATCAACAAACAGGATCATATCAAATTTTAAAACTTAATTAAGCAATAGAAACAACCATCAGAATGAAAAGACAACTTACAGAATGGGGAAAAATTCTGCTAGCTATTTCTCTGACAGAGGACTAATATTAGAATATGTAAAGAACTGAAAAAAATTTAAATTTAAATTTAAAGGCCCAATGAATAAAAGGGCAAGTGAAATGAATAGACACTTCAAAGAAGAAGCAAAAATGGCCAATAAATATATGAAGAAATGCTCAATGTTAATGACCATTAGAGAGATGCATATAAAAACAACGCTGAGATTCCACCTTACTCCAGAAAGAATAGTCATTATCAAGAAGCCAAATTATAACAAATGCTGGAGAGGCTGTGGGGGAAAAAAGAACCCTTCTACATTGCAGTACAACCACTTTATAAATTGCTTATGTCAAGCAGCTTTATTGCTAGTAGTAGAAACTAGGAAATGACTACTTCTCAGAGATGTCTTCCAGCTAAAGCTTGGTTTTGGGTCTTTCATCCGTGGCAAGATCCTACCTCTTCAATTTATTGGGGATGAGAATTTGCTGCCTATTTGACCTAGCCCCTGGTTCTTTGCCACTGGCCTGTAGTGTTGTTTATGACCCTTAGGCAATCTCAGATTTGGCACACCAGGAAGAACAATTGATTAAAACAATTATGTCATCTTGGCTAAATTAGTATAGTCAGCAATAACAATAGCATCAAACATAGGCTAGAAAATAAACTGTGGTAACTATTAATTTGCCACCTTTAGCCATACGAATTAGATTTATGGTTATATAACAAAATCTAAAACAAACCAGAAAATATGCCCTCAATATAGCAAATTTACCCTTGCAGGAGAAAATTTAAAAGGGGTTAGGGGAAAAATATAGAAAGAAAAGAAGGAGGAGAAGGAGAAAGAGACATTAGAAGCAAGGCTGGAGGACAAAAAAAAAAAAGATAACATGAACTTTTGGAAACTGGTGAAGTAGACAGGAGGCAAAGAGAGCAGGAACAAATAAAAACAAGAATACAACAGAACCACCACAACAACCACAAAAAAACTAGAAATAACGTTCATACTCATATAAAAATCACAATAAACAAAAACAAAAAAGAAGAAGAAAAAAGCAAAAAATGTCCACTTCAGGGTGAATCTCTGTCGTCACTGGTAGAGTGGACAGACAGAGCATAGATTCATATTGATTAACCCCAGCAAGCCAGCCCACAGTGGGCTAGTGAATAATCCTAGCAAGCCTGTACCTTTAGTTCATCCAAAGTTCTGGTTGATTTCTGGCTGTGAGGCTGGAAACTGAGTTGTTCAGCCTCTAATATTCAGTGTGCCTCCTGCTAGCTTGAGCTTGGCTCCTTGATCTTTGACAATTTGAACTCAGTTCTGCCACACCTTGACACTGGGAATTGCTAGATGGGGCCAGCCTGAAGCTGTTCCGAGTTTCCAGCTCAGTTGGTGCCTCTACAAGATGGCTACTGGCCAATCGCTCTCTCCTGGAGGGCATCTGAACCAGAATAACTCACTGCTGGGTTCACTGCTCTGTTCCACTCCATTTCTCCATGGAGGCCTCTGGGATTGCCAGTAATCACTATGCATCTGCAAATGTGAGTTGCCCCTCCCACACAATAAGTCAGGGATCAAGAAGAAAGCGCTGCCACCTCTTTCTGCATTGAGGTCTCTCTCTTTGCTCTCCCTGTGAGTTTTAATTCTTGGTTCAGATCCTTGCTAGGTCCTGGAGACCTACCTTTCTCCTTCTTCTCTTCCTCACATTGCTATATTCCAGAGTCTGGACACCAAATCTCCTAGTAGAATCACTTTGGAAATCAGTAGGAAGATTCTTCAAAAATCTGAAATTAGAAATTCCATTTGACCTCAGTATTCCCCTTCGCAAAAGAGTTAAAGACATCATATTACAGTGATACATGCATACTCACAGTTCATAACAGCTAAACTTTGGAAATGGCCTATATTTCCATCAATGGATGAATAAAGAAAATGGGGAATTTACATACAGTGGATTATTCCTTTCCATAAAGATAAACTTGAGTCATTTGTAGGAAAGTGGATACACCTTGAAACCATAATGTTAAGTGAAATAAATCAGGCATACAAGATTAAATATCATGTGGATTCTCTTGTATAAGAAACTCAGATTAAAAATAAATAGCAAAAAAAAAAAAGATAGACAATAGGAAATGAGGAGATAGATCTTTTGCAAATGGGAAGGGGACCAAGAGATAGAAGGAGGGATGAAAAAAAGGAATGAAGATGGGTTATGTACCTGTACCAACTCTACTCAAGGAATGTAAACATTACGTACTGCAAACACGTACTCATAAAAAATAAAGGAATCTTGTCCTTACCCAGTGGACTGACTCCATGTTATATCGGGGAAACAGGTTCAGGGAGATGAGTGGTGTGAGTGGTCAGTCCTGCCCAGTAGTCACCAAGTAGGTCTGTGTTCATTTTCCTTCTCTAGTCACAGTTTTCACATTTGCCGGAAGATGCCCAGGCAACCAGGAGGAGAAAAGAAAGAGGAATTCTAGTTCCCTCCATGGCTAGCACATCTCTGCTGTTGGCAGCTCCATCTTTGGGTGGCTCATACCCAACTCTTTTGAGTCTTGCTTTCTCTCTGTACATTTAACCCACTGCAATGTCCCATGGCTCCATCTTCAGATATATCCATATACTGTCCATTTCATGACACTATCATAAAGCTGGGCCAGTCTCTACTCCATACCCTCCTGGTTGGGTTCCTTCTTTCCATACACGCCTCTCTAATCTTTTCTTTTTTTTATTATTTTTTCTTTTATTGAGTTTACTGGTGCATTTTAGGTATACAGTACAATTACATTCATTATTGGGATCTTGTACCTTTACATGACAAGTCTTGCTTCTCATTTTATTCCTTTGTCCCTGCCCTCCCTTCACCCCCTCCTCACCTCCCCATTTACAAACACTTTATTTCCATTTTTTCATTTTCTCATATTTTTTTCTTTTCCCTTATTACCTTTCCCCTACCCTTCCCATTTTCCCTATACCTTTAGCCCTTTTCTTCCTATTTCACATGGTGAATTAGCTCATTAGGATCTTATGTACTATTATAGATTTTCACACCAAAGAAACTATTCAGTATTTACACATGTGTGACTTATTTATTTCACTTAGGAGTATATCCTCAATATGTAACCATTTTCCTATGAATGAATTTAATTTCTCATTCTTTATGGCTGAGTAGTATTCCATTTTATAGAAAAACCACATCTTTATCCAGTCTCCAACTGATGGACAAATGGGCTGTTTCCAAATTTTAGCTATTACAAACTGTGCCACTATAAACATTGTTGCACATATATCACTGTGGTATGATTCTTTTAATTCTTTTGGAAAGCTACCTAGCAGAGGGATGGCTGGGTCAAATGGAACCTCCAGTCCAAGCTCTTTGAGGTATCTCCATATTGATTTCCATAGTGGTTGCACCAGTCTGCACTCCCACCAACAATGGAGAAGGGTTCCTTTCTCCCC